GTGGGTGTGCGGTGTGGGTGTGGGTGTGTGGGCGGTGTAGGTGTGGGTGTGGGTGGGTGTGGGTGTGAGTGTGTGGGTGTGCGGTGTGGGTGTGGGTGTGTGGGCGGTGTAGGTGTGGGAATGGGTGTGGGTGGGTGTGGGTGGGTGTGGGTATGGGTGTGGGTGTGGGTGGGTGTGACTATGGGTGTGGGTGTGTGGGTGTGGGTGTGGGTGTAGGCGGGTGTGGGTGTGGGTATGAGCGCGGGTGTGAGTGCAGGAGTATTTCCAGAGAAGACCCACAACGACACCCACTCCCACACTCGTACCCACACGCACATCTTGTTTTCAACGACATCATTCTTCTTCTCCCATCCTGTGGGTTGAAAGAAAATTTATTATACCGCATGGGCATATCGTGTTTATTTAAGAACTGAAAAATTACTAGTATATGTCCAAGAGGGAAAAAATACTTAATGAAGCACTATGAAACTCCAATAACTCTCGGATTCATTGTCAAAATGATCAGACTGAAAGCTTCAGAGAGAAAGGTGGCAAATCAGCGAAAGGCGTTTCAACAAAGTTTTTAGCGAAAAACGTTTGAGTCAAATATAAATCAACTAGACAGGGCGAGGGAGAGGATAAGAGCGATTTTGTTTGTCGTTGTCATGTAAGTTTGCTGCAATGCTTTTTCGCTATTATGGTTTTCGTTGGTTTTTATTCGCCGAAAAACTCGTTTGTTCATATGCTTTTCTCTTAACGGACGTTATTCCCTTCACAGCATTTATAAGAATGCTACCAACATGGGATATTAGAGGTGCCTGTGTATTGTTTCTGTTTTCGACCAATTTTCTAATGAATGCTAAAGGATTGGCATGAAAACGACATTGTTGAAGTTGTAAAAGGTCACGATGATCTGATCTTTCCACAAATCCATCAATAGTAATCCAACCTTTCTCAAATGCATCTTCTTCAATCTCGGTACGAGGTTTGGGACATACACTTAGGCAATGGCAATAGACTGTTTGTTCATCGGTACTTTCAAAGTAAAGAGAGCCGTTAAAAATAAATAATACCGCCAACCATTCAGTTGGAATTGGGAACATAACAGGACCAAAATCTGGTGCGATTGATGGAGGAATTGTTAAAGTGGGTGTGTTAACTATAATTGATTGATTTGGCCGAGTTCGTGGTAACAATAAGCGTAATGTTGTAGTCAATAGTTCTCCAGGTGATTGGGAACGATAAAGATTGTGTAATCGACCCATTATCCAATTGGCTTCAAAAGGACTTACAAAAATGATATGTTCATTACGATAGATCACAGTCCATCGTGTAGGACGTAGAAAAGGATCTAATGATTCTCCACGCGTTTGAATCACACGTTTGAATTCATCGGTAACCCAAAGATTTTGTTGCCAACAACGTGGTTGACATTCATGATAGAATGTAGTATTAAGAAAAGCATCAGCAATGGGACAAAATACTGAAGTTAATTTAGATAAATCCAATTTAGGACCGTACATGTTGCATAAAGCCTTGATCTCATCGTGTAATTGAGGTTCATAAGGACGAACATATGAAGGACGTTTCTGTTGTCGTTCTTCTTCCAATTCTTGTTCTCGCTCTAGTTCTCGTTGCTGCTCTTCATCTAATAATTGTGTGAGAAGTTTTTTTGAACCACCATAATCACACAATCGTTTGGAAACAGCTTCATGAATTTCAACTGATGAAAAAATGTTCGAATGTTTGTATCGAGCCGAATAAATCTCGAATATTGTTTGAAATGTTTTCGATACACCGTACATAGATTTCAATTCTAAGACTTCGTCTTCCAAACATTCTCTGGCTATGTTTTCCAATATCGTATCTGTATACAATGTTCCTCGTTCTTTCCAATTGATATTTCTAAAAGCAGTAATTTTTCGTTGAAAACTTAAACTTTGTGTTGCCCAAAGATGTAATCCATCCCATGTTATCTGTTGAGTATTTTCATAAACCCAACGTAGAATATCAGTCAAAGTAATTCGATCATCCATGCTTTTTTCCTTTTGATTTAATGAAATTGAATTTTTCTTCATTGTTCGAATTTGTTGATGAACTTCGTTTGAACTCCAAAAACTTAACCAATGATGTTTGCCTAATTTTCTCATTCGCATACATGCTTGAACTAGCCGATCCTTAGTGAGACCATTACCTAAGGTGACAGCAGCTCTAAATTCATTCGAAAATTTAAAATCTGTTCCTCTCGTATGAATTTCATCTAAATAAAATACACAACGATCGATACGTTCACTAGCAGGTGACGTCAAAAAAGCATGATGCTGATATTGACGATCACAAACGAATATTGAATCCGATTCAAAATACACAGCATAATCAATTTGAGTTTTATCCGATAGATCCAGCCATTTGACAGCTATTTGACGATTGGTTCCATCTACAAATAAGGCACCAACATCTAGAATGACTTGAATCTTTGGTTTATTTATAACAATTTGTTTCAAGATTTTATCGAAGCTCGCACTAATTAATAAATATTGATAATAATCATTTTCTGGTCGAAGTAAATTATTGAGAACAATGGCGTCCGTTTTTTGAAGTTCTGGTAAGTCACATTGACGAATATGAACAGGCAATAATAGTTGAGTATCGTTTGTACCACTAAATCCAGTGATTATTTTTTCTCGTGAAGATGAAGATAGATCCCAAGCAGAAGCAATTAATTTGTGAGGAAATTGTTTTGCTTCTAGAGGAAAAACAAAATGATTGAGAAAATAATTTATAACTAGCATATTATATCGCAAAGTCGGAAAGAGTAGTTGAGTTCGTTGTTGATAATCTTTTAGATTGATTCTTTTCCATTGTTTTATACTTGAAATGGTATCATTTTCCTCTTCCAATGAAATCCATTGATCATAGATCATCTCTGGATCACTTTCATTTTGACTCAAACGATCAAAACATTGATACATTTGTGTATCTGTCAAACCTTTATAGTAATAAGCAATATGTGTTAAGACAATAGCCACATCTGGATGTCCAAATTCTGTGTTTTCAGCTGCAACATCTTTTGCCCGAAATGGTACAGCCATTAAACGATTGAATTTGGTATTTTCATTCACACCAAAATTGACACGATAACGTTTTTTTAAGCCTACAAATAACACTTCAGATGATAAAAGACCACGCATAATCAAAAATAACTGAATTGTATTATGAGGAAATTGATCGACTAGACTATTAACCGATGAATTCGTATTTAATATGAATGATAAGATAAGTTGCTGATCTAGTTGACGGTAACTTTTTTGATTAGTCCAATCGTTTGCTATTCTTCGGCATAATTCTAAAAATGGTCGATGATTAACCAGACGAAATTCTGGAAATCTACTTTGATGTTCTGATTCTTTATAAAAAACATCATCATTATATTGTTGTGCAATATTAGCAGCATGTTCTTTGACTAAATTCAGTACATATTGAATGGTTTTCCAACGTTCTACACCTCCATCAACTTGTTGTTGACGACCAATAGAATAAATTAATTGATATTTAACATGTAAAATTTCATCGGATTCATCCAAAACGTCACGAACAAACGTTTTCATCCAATTTTGAATCAATAACATTGAACGACCAACATCAAATTCATTTCGTCGACATTTATCTATTGTAAGCAAATCAAAAGATAGAATATCTTCGGGTGAAGTAAGTACAATATCCAGATTGTGTAGTCCTTGTTTGAGACGCTCAAAAATTTGATTTACTTGTACATGACTAAAATTCATGTCACGACGACAAGCAAAGGGTATTACACGTCGATTTAATAGACCACCTAATTTATATCGTAGTGATTGATAATTCATTGGAAATAATGCTTTCAATACAATGATACGAACTAAACTCGAAGATGATGAACATAAGCTAAGTGCTAACATAGGTAAAATAACTGAAGTTTTGCCTTCGCCCATATTCATTTGCATGACAATATTTCGTACTGAAGAATTATTTTCATTTAATATTGGTTGTATCATATGACGTGCTACTTGAACTTGCATTTCTCGAATTGTAATATTCATTTCAAGTTCTAGTATTAGCCATGGAACATGTTCTGATGGTGTCCAATTCGTATGAGGTACGTTTAATATTTCTTTTTCAAAATCTTCCCACTTTTCTTG